ATAATCTTAGTTTCCAGTTTGGTTATTGTACAGCCATCCTCTTCATATAATATACACACAAAATAACAACAACAAACAAACAGAAGGAGCTCGCTGTTTAGCAGAGGAGCAAGCATAAAAAAACAAAACATAAACAGAGAAAATGAAATCAAACTTGGATGCATTTAAAGGCACAGATTGGGTAAAATAAATATTAGCCTAACACAATATAAAGATATTGAAGCAGCACTCGTAGAGCCTATATCCATCTTTAAGGCACTACCAGAGGCTCCAGGTACACAACAAAATGCATTTATGGGTGAATTTGTTTTTTTAAAGTTAAATGTTGCATGATATGTTTTCTCTCTGAGTCTCTGAGCAAAGTTTAGGTATAAACCAAAAATATTAAAATAAAATAATCCCACAGAGGCTCTGCCTGTGTGTGAGTTTAAAAGATAATTTACCCTTTTCTAACCAGAGCTGTTATAAGTCATGGCATTATAAATAACAGTAATAAACTCAGAATATACAGGTGCTGGTCATAAAATTAGAATATCATGAAAAAGTAGATTGATTTCAGTAATTCCATTTAAAAAGTGAAACTTGTATATTATATTCATACATTACATACAAACTCATATATTTCAGATGTTTATTTTGTTTAATTTTGATGATTACAAATGACAACAATGAAAATCTCAAATTCATCATATCAGAAAATTAGAATATTACTGAAGACCAATAAAAACAAAGGATTTATAGAAATGTTGGCCAACTGAAAAGTATGAACATGAAAAGTATGAGCATGTACAGCACTCAGTATTTAGTTGGGCCTCCTTTGGCCTGTATTACTGCAGCAATGCGGCGTGGCATGGAGTCGATCAGTCTGTGGCACTGCTCAGGTGTTATGATAGCCCAGGTTGCTCTAATAGTGGCTTTTAGCTCTTCTGAATTGTTGGGTCTGGTGTATTGCATCTTCTTCTTCACAATACCCCATAGATTTTCTATGGGGTTAAGGTCAGGAGAGTTTGCTGGCCAATTAAGAACAGGGATACCATGGTCCTTCAACCAGGTACTGGTAGCTTTGGCACTGTGTGCAGGTGCCAAGTCCTGTTGGAAAATGAAATCTGCATCTCCAAAAAGTTGGTCAGCTGCAGGAAGCATGAAGTGCTCTAAAACTTCCTGGTATGTGGCTGCGTTGACCCTGGACCTCAGAAAACACAATGGACCAACACCAGCAGATGACATGGCACCCCAAACCATCACTGACTGTGGAAACTTTACACTGGACTTCAAGCAACGTGGATGAAGTGCCTCTCTTCTTTTCCTCCAGACTCTGGGACCTTGATTTCCAAAGGAAATGCAAAATTTACTTTCATCAGAGAACATGACTTTGGACCACTCACCAGCAGTCCAGTCCTGTTTCTCTTTAGCCCAGGCAAGACGCTTCTGACGCTGTCTGTGGTTCAAGAGTGGCTTGACACAAGGAATGCGACAGCAGAAACCCATGTCTTTCATACGTCTGTGTGTGGTGGTTCTTGAAGCACTCACTCCAGCTGCAGTCCACTCTTTGTGAATCTCCCCCACATTTTTGAATGGGTTTTGTTTCACAATCCTCTCCAGGGTGCGGTTATCTCTCTTGCTTGTACACTTTTTTCGACCACATCTTTTCCTTCCCTTCGCCTCTCTATTAATGTGCTTGGACACTGAGCTCTGTGAACAGCCAGCCTCTTTAGCGATGACCTTTTGTGTCTTGCCCTCCTTGTGCAAGGTGTCGATGGTCGTCTTTTGGACAACTGTCAAGTCAGCAGTCTTCCCCATGATTGTGTAGCCTATAGAACTAGACTGAAAGACCATTTAAAGGCTTTTGCAGGTGGTTTGAGTTAATTAGCTGATTAGAGTGTGGCACCAGGGGCCATCAATTTTGAACCTTTTCACAATATTCTAATTTTCTGATATGATGAATTTGAGATTTTCATTTGTTGTCATTTGTAATCATCAAAATTAAACAAAATAAACATCTGAAATATATGAGTTTGTATGTAATGTATGAATATAATATACAAGTTTCACTTTTTAAATGGAATTACTGAAATCAATCTACTTTTTCATGATATTCTAATTTTATGACCAGCACCTGTAAGTAAAAGCCCAAAATGATAGTAAAGGCAATGTGAGTTCAATACAGATATGTTAACACAGCTGTATTTAGGGAATTTTATTCCATTATTGTAGTAAGCAATTTTTTTATATATATATTAAGATAAGATATTATTATATTTTTTAAAAAATTGGGGAAACAACAAAAACCTTTTTCGATTAAGATGTACTTCAAAGCTTTTTTTCAAATTTCCTTTTACAAAGCCTTTTCTTGTATTCAACAATAATGGAACCAAATTCACTCCATACCCCTGCAAATGTGCAAAATGCTGCATCGTAGCTTTAAATATCTAACTAATGCATTAAAATGCCTTTTTTCATAACATTTTACTATAAGTTAAATAGTATGCAATATATACAGCTTATATAAATTCACAGAGCAGAAATATTCCATTCAATAACATGGATAACAAAAAAGTCTTGAACAGAAACGAAATGATAATCCTTTTTTGGTCATACCGTATTTTCACGACTATAAGGCGCACATAAACGTCTTTTTTTCCCCTCAAAATGTGCGGTGCGCCCTTTGGTGCGGTGCGCCCTATGTGTGTTGCAAGTGCGACTTTTGAGACCACCTCATTGAGGAGATGATGAAAAAGTGGCTGAATGTAAGGAGACCAGGTGGTTTTTTTTTCCACTCATCACCACACCATCGCGGTTAATCTGACTCCATGCGTGCCCATCTCACAGCTGATGTTATAAAACATGGTGAAACAAATTAATGCTGTGCTCGCTGTGAACCGGACGCAGCAGGTGCAGCAGAAGCAGCGAGTTTACATGCAAAGTCAACGGTTGACGAGCGTATAGACGCAGCAAAAGGTCATGCTGCTCAAAAAGGTTTTGAGCAGCAGGCGCTGCACGTCAGGAGCGCGCCGCCAACGCGCTGCTGCTGCTCGAGATGGAAAAATTGAAGTTTTGCTGCTGGAAGCGCCGCATCAACCAATCAGAGAAGCTGATCTGGGAGCTGGCTGTGAGACGACACATCGCTCTGATGACATTTTAAGGCAAATAAAAAGGGCTGGATGGATGAGGAGATGATGAAAGCGCGGCTGAGGCAGGTGTATGTGAGGAGACAGGTGGTTTTTTTCCACGCATCACCATCGCTTTTAATATGTGACTCCATGCGTGCCCATCTCACAGCTGATGTGAAAAACATGGTAAAAAAAAAATAAACGCTGTGCTCTCCGTTATCCCGGGGGTCTGACAAAGGAACTTCAACCGCTCGACATCGGTGTGAAGCGGCCGTTCAAAGTAAGGCTGCGAGCGGCGTGGGAGCGATGGATGACAGACGGAGACCACAGTTTCATGATAAGTGGAAGGCAGCGCCGGGCAAGTTACGCCACCGTTTGCGGATGGATTGTTGATGCTTGGACTAACGTGTCTGCTGGCTCTGTTGTTCAAGCTTTTGCAAAAGCCGGCATTATTTCTGAGGAGCTGCGCTGCACGGAAAGTGACTGACAGCGAAGAAGGGGAAACTGGCATGTCTGATTTAGCGCAGCTGTTTAATTCAGAAACAGAGGATGATGACTTTGATGGGTTTGATTAATACTTTGTAATAAATACATGAATAAAGCACAATCATACTCAGTTTTGCTCCCGCTGTATTTTTCTACCTGAAAACTTAATTCAACAGCAGCCTCTGGGCGGGTCTCCTCCTCTTCACCGCGGTGGCTGGCAGGTGTTTTTTCATCTAAATAATCTAAATCTTGCAGCTATATTTGCTGTGATCAGTGGGAATAAAGTATTTTTAATATGTTTTTATGTGAGAAAGGCCACCTGAAAACTTAATAATTGCAGTCAGTTCATCCAGATTATCTATTTCTGTCGGAGGCGCTCAGACCCCCCACATACCAGCGGTACACCGACAGTAGAAATCCCTTCATCAGCAGCCTCTAGGCTGGGCAGCCTCCGGGTTCACGCGGTGGCTGGCAGGTGTTTTTCATCTAAATAATTTTAACTGCAGCACCAGGATACCGGTAATAAAAGCGAACATATTCTGTCGGCATGTTTCAGGATTTTAAGTTAATTTAGGAGTCATCACAGCTCTGTCATCTGCGATGTGTCTGTCTCATGGCCAGCACCCAGGTTTGATTAATACTTTGTAATAAATACATGAATAAAGCACGATCATACTCAGTTTTTGGGCCCGCTGTATTTTTAAATACGCAGTAGAGGTATTTAAAGGTAGTAGAGGACATGTACCTGTATATAAAAAACGCGCCCTATAGTCCGGTGCGCCTTATGTGTGTGTTAAATACAGAAAAGGCACACATAACTGAGACTGTGCCTTTTAGTACGGTGCGCCTTATGGTCGTGAAAATACGGTAACTGCTTTCTGACTGGTGCTCATAAGCTCCTGGTCATATTAAACATGAATAATTTAAATAATTCAACAATGTTGATTTTCTGCTGACCATTTAAGATGCATCTGGTCTGTCTGTCATAAGCAGTTACAACTATTTGCAATATAGAGGCAGGATTATGCTCTAATTAAACTAGATAGTTTAAGGTAATCTACAGATACAGCATTGGTAAAATTAATCAACAACATTGGCCAGCTTGTTTTGTCTCTCTGGTAAATCTAAACTATAGATAACAATATATAGAGCTGCTGAGACCATTTAACAGACACTGATTCCCAAGAACAGAAATGGGATTTTAGCATTATTGGCAGGGAAAATTTATTTTTGAAATTTTACAAATAAAGTTTCTATAAAAGAACAGTTTTTACATGGTTTCTAATTAGTGCGGACTATTTACAAAAAAATGCACAATTTTTATTTGGAGACCAGCAACCAGAGAGCAAGATTCTGCTGCCACTGAGGACTGTCGAGCTTGTAACTATCAATTTGTCAATCCGATTAAAAGTTTTACACTTTGAATTTTAAAACCACAAAATGGTCCTTCAGTTTAGGAAACTGTAAAACCGATGCCAATGGCTGACAGTTAACCAGCTGTGATAGTCTCAAAATGCTGACCAACATTAAATGATGTCACCTATATTAAAAGCAGTTAAAGATTTGCACCTTTTCTTACTGCAAACACTCAGAAAGCTTTTTTTTCTTATTTAGCACCATCAGCACAAAAGGGCCCAAACTCATAAACCTGTTCCCTTCAAATTTCAAAAGAAGAGTATTGAATGTGTAACAACAGCTAACACTTCACCAGACAGTGTCCTGATAACAGCACCTAGATAGCACTTAATTCAGCAGTCTTCATTTTATTGTGGAATCTGACTATCATACAATCTTGTGCCAATAGATATTTTACTAGCTATGCAGCAAGACTTTTCTACTTCAGAGAAAACAGCAAAAACAGTTTTCATAAACCAAAATAAAACCAAATAAATGCAAAGGATGATTAGGTAGTAAAAGCCCCAAACAGGCCAAAAATCGATATATCTTTCTTCCTCTTCTTTTTTCCCATGCATTTAAAAAAAAAACTTTTTTCTGTACTTTACATTTTACTTTATAAGAGCTTAAGTTTAAGTTTTTTTTTTTTCTTTCCAAAAACTCCACTCTCTCCAAAAGAAGGTATTTTCTTCCTTGGTGCACAGAGGTGACTACGTCAGTTTTCTAATATTTGAACCTGAATGGAGGAGAAACATTTTCCAAAGCTGTGGAACAGCGGTGTTACGAAAATGTCCGTCAGGCTCTGCCATATTTTCTGCGCTGAGGGTAGTAGCATCATACAACTCTGGATCACTGGCATCACCAACCTGCAGGGATAAGGACAACAAGAGATTGTTAAAGAACAAATGCAGCCGATAGCAAGATCACCTCAAAAGTGAGCTCTACAGTATTCATATTACTAACAAAGGTGTCGGTCTGACTTTTAGTCCAAGAAAATTATTTGAAGGACGCCATAGATTGTTTTTACAAGCTCCTAAAAACTTCTACCAAAACCCATCCAAACCAGAGGATTTTTAAAACAAGCAAAGCATTTTACCTTTGCTTTTGGTCTCTGCAGTCTAAAAAAATATATTTTAACTCTTATACATGATTAAACTAACAAAATAAAAATAAATATATAAAATAACGATTGAATTTGAATTTTAGCGTGGGTTTTGATGCTAGTCTGTTTGGACTGGGCATGAGAAAATATAAGCGCTTTAGATGGTTGTAAAAAATCATGATGAATAGTTGGTGTGTTTGTGGCAACTAATCAAAGATTAAGGGGAAGAATTGAAGAGGCGGAACACAGTCTGTCGGTAAAGCTATTTAAAATTTTTATAATAATAATTTAAATAAAAGGTTTAAAAATCAATTTGCTCTAACTGCCAAATTTGGGCATCTGGTTAGGATGTGTCACCGGTAGGGGGACTGAGGGGGAGAACCAGGACATTCTGGAGGGACTGTTTCTCAGCTGGCCTGGAAATGCCTTGGGATTCCCTCCTGGAGGAGCTGGGCAAGTAGCTGGCGAGAGGGACGTCTGGGCCTCCATCCCTGAAGCTGCTACCTTTGAGACCCGAACCCGGATATTGGGAGCAAGAGGGTTGAATGAATGGATAGATGGATGTTGGTCAGGGTTACTAGAGTAGTAGCATTCTAGTGTCATGTTATGTTTCCGTGTCTGTTGTCTTCTTATTTCAGTCGTCCAGTAGCCCACTTGTCATCAGAGTGACCTGGTTTCTTAGCTCTTGATGCAGACCTTGTTTGACCAGGCAACATCTGAGCCATAAAAACATAACTATGGCTTTCAATTAAAACTATTAATCCCTGTATGTAAACGTATTTAATAAGAGAAGAGCAAAGGTGATGGCGACCTCCTAAAATAATATTGATTATATTAATTTTGAACATTGGTGGACCAGTGACCATGTAGATTTTCTTTGCAAACTCTGAAGGCGCACCATCTGTTCTGTAACATAGAACACTGACAAGTGATACTCCCCCTATATATAAAGCACTCTGCAAGACTGATACTTTCTCCCTTTTTGTCTTTGAGACCCTAGAGTCAGGAACTCCTGAATGGGATTCTCTGAATGCCAGGAAATCTCATGCTTAACCTGATTAAAAGTTAAATGGACTTGCTGGCTAATTCCAGAACCATATTGCTGTGAAAAACACTTTCAGTAAATCTGAATCTACAGGAGTAATGGAGATCGACAGAAGTTGCAGGTCTAGCAAAGTTAGGGAAAAAGGTTCCAGCTAAAAAAAATAGTTTTTTTTTATGATGTTTGATCATTTCATGTGTTTACTGCGAAGTAAAAAAGGCAATTGTCACCCAGTTTTGATCTATTGACCTTATGTTGGGTCTATTCATATGATCTCATGGGTAAAGACCTCTAGTGTACCCCACAGATTTCTTTGGCTTCTTTCATGTTTTAGGGGTTGTGAGAACTGTTGACTCCTTTGATGCATTTCCTCTCTGTGTGATCCTCCAACAAGAGGTAACACTGATGAACACCAATGCCCTGGATTGACATATTCCTCATCTTTTGCCTCAGTTAGCTCAGAGGTCATACAAAAGTGTCTCTGCAGTGCTCCATGTGCAAATAAAGAATGTTTCCACTCTGGTCTGAAAAGTGCTTTAATTGCTTCTGAAATGCCGTCTGTCTGGTGGAGCAAACAGGACAGTTTTTCCTGAGCTTCCAGTGGAGCTCAGCATTCCTCCAAAGTTTCCATTCTGTGCTTATATGAGGATTTAAAATGTTCCATCAAGTCTTTATATATAGATTCGCTGCACTGTGGTAGTAAACACATCGACATGCTAGGTAAACTTTCAAGCACCTGTTTCGACTTATTGCACACTACAAATTATACATTACGTAACCATGATGTAATTAAACAAATAAAGAGTAGAAAAACTATATTTAGAGAGAGGGTGTTTCATTACTGAAGTGGATATTATGTAAAAAATTTTATTCATCTTTTTGCTTTTCCAAAGAACTAAAAACAGTTTCTAATCCTAAACGATATTATTTTGTATAATCATTCCATCCTGAGAAATAAAGCTTAAAAAAAAGCTTTTTTAAATTAAAGCTTTTAAAAAAACGACGTCATTCATAATTGAAATATTTAAAATTTTATTTATATTTTTATCTATATTTTAACTTTTGGCTGGTCACTAAAATATATCGTATCCATTTTAGTCTCAGCTGAAAAACATCAACTCACCAGATATGGACGCAGCTGAGCACTCCAAAAATGAGCCCGAGTATAAAAGCCATGGGCACAGCCAGCAGAGTGGTGAGCAGGCGGTAGAAGAAGAACTTGACCAGCTCGAAGGTTGCGTGGCTTCCTATCCAAACTTTGTCGAAACTGTGGGTGGAAACTGGCTCTCCGATCACATCCTCAAAACTCACCTGTTGGAAATCAGAAGCGACCAAAGGCATAAGCAACCAAACCAGCAAAAGCACACGATTGATTAAAAATAGTTAAAAACTCTAAATTTCATTGTTTTGATTAACATAAAGACAAAGGATTTTGAAGACCCAGTTAGCAGGACAATCAACATTTAAATTAATTTTTTTAACATTTTAACAACTTGACAAACATGTGGTAAACATTAAAAATAAATCACACAGGAGCATCTAAATAACTGCTAAAATTGTATTTATTTTAGTAACTCATTTGAGAAAAGTAAATTATTGTATGATAATAATTTACAGCTAAACCAGTGACATGATATTATAAAGAATTTCTTTCCAAATAGGTTTTTGCTCCTTATACATAATGTTTACCAGGGCTTCCCAAACTGTTCAGCCTGTGAGCCCAGTAATAACAGAGACACATACTGAAGACCCCCTAAAAATACATTTCACTCTACATTAATATACAGATATAGAGTGAAGTAATTATATTCATTTGTTTCTTACATTTAGATTTATTTTCTTAAATTACATTAAATTAATAATTTTCAATGTGTTTTTAGGCCCAAAGTTGAAAAAAAACAACATAGAAAGTTCAGTGTATGCCAGTGTTTGGGAAGATTCTGGAGCGTCGACATTCGCTGGCTAAATTGTCAAGGTGTGACAGTGGCATAACAGGATTTCAATCTGAAAAACTCACAGAGAGAGAAGATGCAATTAGAAGAGTTTATTGATACAATAGTTTGAACTTTGGCGCTCAGGCCTCGGCAGGAAACATAAATGCTGATTTGAACTTTAATGCAGATAAACTGATGCATGAGAGTATAAATATTTCCCCCGGGCCTGAAACTGGTGGTGGAGTTTAGATGATGAAGTTTGGTAATCCATAGAGGCTGGTATACGAGGTGATGCTTGAGTTAGTTGACGCCGAATGAACGAAGTTGCATAAACTGTCCATGAACTGTCCATGAAGAGCAAGCATGAAGCGACTGTGGAGAGAAAAAACTCCCCCTTGGGAAGAAATCTCTGGCAGAACCAGGCTCAACATGGCGGTCTTCTGCCGGACCGTTTAAAGTGACAGGGTACTCTGTGAAAGTCTGGAGGGAGTACACACTGGAGGTGAGGTTGAAGTAGCTTCGAGGAGGAGTCGGATGAGCTTGCTACGATGGTGGAGAAGGGGATGGAGGCGGGTTGTCTGAATCAAAGTCCGACATAGCGACGGATCTTGCGCTTGTTGAAGAGCAGGTCCAGAGATGGTTTGGAGTGGCTTTTAAGGAGAGTGCTGGTAGATAATTGGGCGAAGCTTGAAGCGGATTGGCTGCATCGGAGGTGGATCAGCCTCAGATAGAATGAAAGTAATCAGAGTTTCTTCAGTTGAATTTCCGCTTTAGCTTCATTTCAATCTGAAAAACTCACAGAGAGAGAAGATGCAATTAGAAGAGTTTATTGATACAATAGTTTGAACTTTGGCGCTCAGGCCTCGGCAGGAAACATAAATGCTGATTTGAACTTTAATGCAGATAAACTGATGCATGAGAGTATAAATATTTCCCCCCAAAAATTGCCGAGGTGCAGGCCAGAGCGCCAGCATGAGCAGAAAGCAGAGGGAGAAGGGTGAGTAGAGAAGAACATCATTATGCACAGGCTGATACACGTGATAAATGAATATACATTACAGGGATCATGCAGTGAGCATGGTAGAGGGAAAATAAGGGTGCTTGCAGAAAGCATAGCAGGGTCCATAGCAGGAAGCTTAGGAAACATGCAGGAGCATAACAGAAAGTAAGGCAGGAAATGACGGGATGAGGCGAGGAACATGACGGGGGCACGTAGGAGACTTGCAGGGAATATGCAGAGCGTGGTAGGGAGCATAGCAGGGAGCATAGAAGGGAACGGTGTGAGTGGCAGGGCAAAAGCATGGCAGGAATAATGGCAGGGACATGGCAGGGAACACACAGGGAGCATGACTGGGAGCATGGCAGGGAACACACGGGGAGCATGGCTGGGAGCATGGCAGGGAACACACAGGGAGCATGGCTGGGAGCATGGTAGGGAACACACAGGGAGCATGGCTGGGAGCATTGCAGGGAACACACAGGGAGCATGGCAGGGAACACACGGGGAGCATGGCTGGGAGCATGGCAGGGAACACACAGGGAGCATGGCTGGGAGCATAGCAGGGAACACACAGGGAGCATGGCTAGGAACAAGGCAGGGAGCATAGCAGGGAGCATGGCGGGAATGCACAGGGAGCATGGCAGGCGGGTAATGTGGCAGGAATCACACGGGGAGCATGGCAGGGAACACACAGGGAGCATGGCTAGGAACAAGGCAGGGAGCATAGCAGTGAGCATGGCAGGGAACACACAGGGAGCATGGCGGAATGCAAGGCAGGGAACACACAGGGAGTATAGCAGGGTGCGTGGCAGGGAGCAATGAAGATGAGCAAGATTTAGCAAGAATAAGAATAGATTTTAAACCACCACCAGTATTTGAGGTTAGCTTACCTTAAAGACAGAGGGAGCGTTGGGCTGATAAGATAGAAGAGTGTTCGGGGCGGATATAGGAGGTATAGGCTGAAGAAGTCCATCGGCCCAACTGCTGGAGAGAAGCTACGGAGACTCCGCGAGCGGCTGCTGTTGTGGCTGCCCCTATCCTAAATGAGTGGCTGGAGTAATGGCTGGATGAAAAGCCACAGTATTCTAATAGCATACGAAGATGATCTTGAAACCAGCGTGCTGACATGGGGGAACCCTCAGGCGTGACGAAAAGGGCTTTGGAATGAGGAAAAAACTTTTGGCGCTTTTGGACAAATTTAAACATGATGATAAACGGGCAAAAGGGGCCATCTGTACGTGCGATAGAAATGGAACATGGGCCTTTCCCTTTAGAATGTTTCAAAGATATTTTGTAATGATCAATATGGAAACGAAGATCTGAAAGAGACAAGTGTCGGGAAGGATCGAAACGACTATTAGTAGAAGTGAATTCGCCTACTCTCAAGAAGCCATAGAAAGCCAGAGAGAAAGTAGCTGATAAAAGGGACTTAACGTAGGAAGAGTAGGGGCTTAACGAAAGTGAGGACAAAAGCCTCTTGAGGATAGGGAAGGTTATGGGTTTACGTGAATCAGATACATGAGAAGAATGTTTTGCCAAACCTTTGAGAAGGAGCTTAATGGAGGGGTTTTTGAAAAGACTAGGAGAATCGGGATTATGGCATTTCGAAAAAAAATTAATGCCAGCTAGTAAGCTGCGGATATAAGAAAGTTTAAAATTGCGTTTGTCGAAGCAGTACGAAATGAAAGCCAAGACAGATGTAATGAGTAATGGATATAAAGGAATGTGGAGGCTCAAACAAAATTTGGCAAAAATTTGCCATGCAAAATTATAAGTTCTGAGGGTTGAGGGAGCTAAACCTGATTTTATGTAGAAACTGGAGGAAAGTAAGTAGGAACGAAGAGAGTGAGTTAATTGAGGACGAGTTCCTCTAGCGGAGGAACGGGGGTCGGATGGAGATCGGCAGAAGGACGAAGATGATGGAAGGTCTGAAATTTAAAACGAGAAAGAGCATCGGCAGCATGGTTAGAAAGACCAGGAACGTGTCGAGCAGAGATGATGAAGTTATTGGTGACCGCTTGCCAAGTTATGCCTCTAATGAATGGCATGAGAGAATGAGAGGAGGAGCGACCTTTGTTGATGGCGTCAACGACTGCCATGTTGTCGCAGAAGGCGGATATACGCTTTCTCCTCCAAAGCGGGCCCCACAGACGGCAAGCTACGGCTATAGGGTAAACCTCGCATAGCGCAGATGATTGAGAGTTAGTAAAAGAGGGAGGCCACGAACCAGCAAACCACCTGTCCTGAAAGAACCCCCCAAAACCTACGGATGGGGCAGCATCCGTGAAAAATTGGAGCATAGAGGCGGATTGAATGATGTCATCATAGAAAAATGATTTGCCGTTCCAGTTACAAAGAAGTCTAGCCCAGAAGCGAAGATCGGAACGGCAGCCTTCGTCCAGAGAAACCTGATCTAGGAGAGAGGGAACAGAGTTAGCTAGGTCAAGCAGTCGGGAAATGAAGGAACGACCTTGTGGAATGATGCGCATGGCGAAATTAAGGTGACCAAGCAAAGAAAGCAGCTGACGTTTGGAAATGATAGATGCAGAGCTATAAGACTGAGAAATCTCACGAATCCGAGACAGCTTGTCTGCGGGCAGAGATGCCATCATGGCCACTGAATCGAGAACTATGCCTAGAAACTCAATTTTAGTAGCAGGGCCGATGGTTTTTTCTTCGGACAGGGGAACACCAAGTGGGGTAAAGAGCTTTTTTAGTTTGAGGAGTGACGAACTGGGCTGGGTGGAGGGAGGATCTATGAGTAGAAAATCGTCCAGGAGATGAAGAACGCAAGGCAAACGAGTAACGTTAAGGAGAATCCAACACAGAGCTTCTGAGACTTTGTCGAAGAGACAAGGACTGCTTCTGCAGCCGAAGGTGAGACGGACAGCAAAGTAGAACAGGGACTTCCATTTAGCTCCAAACAGGTGCCATTGAGAAGGGTGAATGGGAACGATTTTGAAAGCATCAGAAATGTCTGCTTTAGCCAGCCAGGCCCCTTGGCCGGTGATCTTAATCAGAGAAATAGCATGGTCTACAGAAGCGTAGTGAAGAGAGAAGGCGGAAAGAGGGATGATGCTATTTATGGAGGAGTGAGGGCCAGAATGAGGGGCAGATAAGTCCAAAATGACCCTCTTTTTCCCCGAATATTTGCGGGTAGCTACCCCTAGAGGGCTCACACGGAAAGGAGCAAACGGAGAAGTTTTGAAAGGACCGATCATGAAACCCTTGGACACTTCTTTGTGAAGCAGCTGATCTACAACGTCTGGTTCTTTTAAAGCGGATTGGAGATTGGGGGAGACGTGGGTGAGGGAGGGGGGGTTGTAGACTCCGACGTGAAAACCTTGAGAAAGACCGGTAAGAAGGAAGTTGACGAAAGTGCGGTCGGGATGATGGGTAAGACAAATCGCCAACTCAGAAATAATGATGGGCGTGGAAAGATGATGGGCTATTAATGTTTGGAGGTACGATTTCTCATGAACAGAGCACGGCGGGGACAGACGGACTTGGGATGCGCGTCTTTGCAATGGCTGCAAATGTGGAGAAAACTGCAATTAGGAAAGGTGCAAAGACTTTCATTGAACTTATTGCAGATGGGTCTGGAGTTGAATACCTGGACATTTCTACCTCGGCGGTCTGTGGGCTGGGCAAGAGTAGAAGAGAACAGAGGAGAAATAGATTGAGTGGTAGACCTAAAGGGTATAGATGGGCAGAACGCGCTGAGGTGGCCGGTTGAATGACAGGCAGAACAGGGGATGGACTGGGTCAACATGATTAGTAGATCTGTGTCCAAAACCGACCAGTCCAGGCAGACTCCGGATTGTGCCAAGATTGCAGCTGCTTTAGTGGCAAATGATTTGTGATATTGATAAAAGAGGTTATTGCCGAATTTGATGTGAAGATCTGCTATTAATGCGAGATACTTATCAAGCTCGACCCTGCGGTCTGGATAAACTGAGCAAAGAGTGTCTCGGTAGATGCTGAAAGCTGCTAGAAATTGGCCAATGGTGAGGTCTTTGGATAAGCGGGGATCGGATGATTTGAAAACGGCTGTAATGTCACCTGCTGAGGCGACTTGATGTTCGACTTCACAGGAGGGGAGGATAAGTGAAACTAAATTGACATATTTCCCTTGAATAATATTGGAACGGAGGCGAGGAGAAACGTTAGAGTACATAGGAATATATGAACTGCCTGGATAGAAGGGGCGGGGATAAAACATAATGAGCAGAATGTATATATATAAAAAAAAAAAAAAAATTATAATAGAAACGTGGTTAGATACATCTTACCTGAAGCTGGCCCGGGGCGGGCGTTGGCGAGTGTGAATGTGGGAGGAGGAGGGAGGGGATCCGACTGTGAAGCTGAAGGCAGTGATGACGTGGCGGTATGGGGATTTTCCAGGGCTTGAACGCGAGCGGACAGAGCCAGAACGGAGCGATTTAGAGAGTCCAGGGTGGAGCATAAAGAAGCCGAAAACTGGTCAACGGCGGGAGGATTGTGGGAGGGTGGAGCCGTTATAGATTGAGAAGCTGACATGATGGGGATGACTGAAGAAGGACCTGGGTTGGCGTCGGAATGAAGAGAGGGACCGGGCGCTGCAGCGGCTGGAGCTGGGACGTCCTCTGCTGCGTTTGGCGGGGGGGACGGAGGATTTGCATGACCGCTTGCGACCTGGATTCGGCGCAGATGGAGGAGCGGAGCAGATGGAGGGGGGGAAGGAGATGAATCTTGATGAGGCAAGAGTGAGGCTAACTGGGAAAGTTGAACTGAGTCTAAGTCAGAGCCTGGCAAAATGCCCCTGGAGCGCAGTGTGGAGGATGGAGATGAGAGAGCGGCTAGACGGGCACTTCTTCGAGCTGGAGGATTTGGAGGTAAGTTGATTTGAGGTTGGTCGTAGAGCAGGGACCCGGCAGGGTCGTCTGAATCAAAGTCCGACATAGCGACGGATCTTGCGCTTGTTGAAGAGCAGGTCCAGAGATGGTTTGGAGTGGCTTTTAAGGAGAGTGCTGGTAGATAATTGGGCGAAGCTTGAAGCGGATTGGCTGCATCGGAGGTGGATCAGCCTCAGATAGAATGAAAGAAATCAGAGTTTCTTCAGTTGAATTTCCGCTTTAGCTTCATATTAAATTTTCTAATTGTGATGTTTATAATCTAAATTTACATTTACTGTAATATTTGTATTAACATGAATGCATTTTACCATCTAAAATATAACACATGTTAATGGTGCATTCATTTATTGCAGACATTCATAATCATGCGGAACATTTCTAACTTAGGAAAGTCATTTAGCACCTCCACAAGTAGGATAAGAAAATGATCAATAAAGAGGCGGGAAGTTTGGCTTTGTTATCTAAAAACATAAAATGTAAAGATGAGTAAAAGAAAAAAGGGTGGTAGAAAAGCTCATGACTAGTAGCGCAACAAAAAGGTCTCCTCTTTCAACTGGCTCTATGAAAATGCTGCTTTCATTTTGCAGCAGGACATGGCACCTGCCGAAACCACAAAAAGTATCTACAGCTGGTTTATTGGCTGATTTGAATGGACTTCTTTAACTACTTAGAGGAGCCAGAGATAGATTGCCTAGCATGTCTAATTATTTCTGTAAGTCATGACCATGTCAGGACCAAATACTAAAACTAGGGATGTGGATTAAGAAGAATTTTGCATTCCGATAAATATCACAAGTCACTGATACATTTTATCGCTAAATATCCTGATACATTAACAAAGGCAATTTATTAGGATTCTTTAAACATATCTTTGAAAAATCCTCACAAGATCATGCCGTGGCTCTGCTGCAGCTGGTGCAGAGCAGCTGAAAAATAGACTCAGCCAAATGGTTTAAGAGTTATATTAAAGTAAGACCATGAAATTATTGTTTGCTTATAAATTTTTTTACATTTTTTAAAACCAAACCAATAACAGATCAGCCGGTACAGGTTTTGTAAGGTCAATGCTGATAACGAATGTTCTGACGTCGGCCTAACCGATCCCGACAACTGCTACTGATATTTTTGGTCCCAGTCTTAGAGCCGATATTGCTCCCCCCCCCCCTCCTTTTAGATGATAAAAATGACACGATAATAGCAAATGTTACACAAGCTTCAGATAAACATAAAATAAACATTTAGTAATAAATCAAACAAAATATTAACAATGAATAGCAGATGGAGGGGACAGCAATAGATGGGATTTCTGCAATCTCAACGCATGGCTGTTGTTGTGCGACATGCCCTGATCATGGTTTTTGAACATTGGGAACCAATTGGAACCAGTGCCCATATTTCATCTTGACATGATGACCAGAGAAGAAGATGGGATTTTGGTTCATAAGCAAATGTAAGACCTCTCCAATATCTGATATAACATTAGTTTTCATGTGTTCCTCATATGCTCACTACATTTTCGATTACCAAGTATGACCAAAAGTAATTTAATGAAATCCTCATGTATATTCACTGCTAGCTATTTCGAATAGGGTAAGAATCATTTGACTAAAGGTTATTGGTTCCTGATTGAGAAAATCATTCAATAAACATTATTTGGCCAAATAATGTTTTATTCACCCAATGGATTTGCATTGTGAATTGGTCTGAAAACATTCCAATTTCTCTAAATTAGTGAAAAGCTAATTTGATCATATCCCAAATTCTTCCAGATAAACTTTCGTTTTCAAACAAAGGAACCATCTTAAACTGTAACATGGTTTTCAACCATGTTTCCCCTTCCTCTTTGTACATATGAGTTTAGTTAGTTGAATTTCACTAGTTTTAATTAGCAGCTTTAAACTGAAATATGTTTGACTTGGAGTTGAATGATTTTTGTTAATAAACTCTTATATTTTGAAGAGAAATTGTGGTGAATTTATTCCATGTATGTGCAGAATTCACTGTTTGACCATGATTAGAGCTCAAATCACTCTTTCATTTGTTGTTCTAACACACAGTTACTATGACTGTGTGTCATAAACAATATATAACAGACAAACTAATATCTGATTAAATATGATTTTTACCATCCCTACTTTGGAGGGCACTAAACATCTTACAGTATCAGAAATGTAGATTCCCAGCTAGATGGGAATTGAATAGAACAGTTATCACAACATTAATATGGCATCCAACCTGGATAGGAATTATATATAATGTAAAATCACAACACTGTTGAACAGAGAAAAGTCAAGAGCAAGAAAATTAAATAATGCAATCTACTTTAAAAAGCTATAACTGTCACCTTTAAAGTGCAATTATATTAAGTTTAGCAGCAGTCTATTGTGTAAGAGAATTAATAATTTCTATCAACAAATATGTTGTTAAAAAAACTCCTAACTCCTGCCTTTTACTCGATTCATTTCTCCTACAACCCCTGCAATTCCACTGAGCTCCCCAAATTGTGGGATGCCCCTCACAGTTTGAGAACCACTGCACTAAAGAATCGGGCAATGCACATGTCAACCAATGATACAAATTAAAAAAAGCTAAAAAAAAAAATAGCCTGTCGATTTGTCAGTCTATCTTCAATACTAATTGATCACTGAAAACTAACTTAAAATTTCAATATTGAAATTTTAAATTCATAAAAATTAGGGGGCTGCTTAGAGACGTAGTGGGTAGCACTTCTGCAAGAAGGATGCAGGTTTGATTCCTGGCCTGGGGTCTTCCTCCCACAGTCCAAAAACATGATTGTTTGGTTAATTGCTTCTTGAAATTCTCCTTAGGTTTGAGTGAATGGTTGTTTGTTCTGTTTGTTTCTGGGTTGCCCTGCAATGACTGGTGACCTGTCTAGAGTGGACCCTGCCTGTAGACAGCTGGAGATAGGCACCAGCACCCCTCGTGACCCCACTTGGGATTAAGCGTGTCGGAAAATTGATGGATGGACAAATATTGTCTAAATATATCTAATATCGCTAAAGTTGATAGAATCGATTTCTTTGTACACCCCCAAATTAAATACTGCTTAATATCTGTCCAATACTGCTGTAACAAAAGTCAAAGGGCCAAACGATTAACATTTAAAAAGCTCCAGCTCCAGGCAGGAAACAATTTAGTGATGAAGGATGAACGCGCAGGCACTCACTTCCAGGTATTCATTGGACTGATTACTCGCCTTACACTAAGCCTCATAAATAAGAAAATAATCACAATGACCAATTGACAATGAAGTAACAATATGAACAATGATTTTACAACTAAACTAAGGCTGTGAAGTTTTGACTTTAAAAGAACCGTCACCGTCGACAGCCTTTTACCTTCAGATGCCTGTTGATCTCATTTGGATCCCTGTCCGGCGCTGTTGGATACACCTCTCCCTTTTTCGACAGAATAGGCTCTATGGATCTGTTAAACTCATCTTCGTCCATGATTATGCTGGTCTCCAGCTTTTCCTTCTCGACACCCATGTTTGTCGGAGCAGAGGAGGAAGGACGGTGCGCGCAGGGTAGGTGGCTGCGGTGCGCTGTGCGCCGGACTGTGCGCCACCCCGCCCCGCAGGGAAAGTTGCGCGCCGGGGAGCAGAGCAGACACAACAAGCTCACAGTGAGAACAGCAGCTACTGTTCAACTGTGCAATGAAAAAAGCAAAAAACAGGCCTTCAGTTTTGTCAAAATATACAATGTATTCAAAGCTAAACCCAGAGTAAATCTTTTAAAAGTATACGTTAACTTTATAATGTTGTTTTAAAAGTCAAATACAGTAACTGGGATTAGAGCTCACATTGCATTAGACACATGGACACAACACAGTTGAACACGTTTTTTGCACAAATAGAACCTCATAGTCTACAGCCCTTCGAAGAATTAGGGGCCCACTTCTATTTTAGCTATTATTAGCAGATCTAACATGTTTAAGCCTACTCACACTACCACATTCTGCATTGAAAACGAGATGTTTATAATTGGTTTTTGAGCTCATAATATATTATTATCTATTACATATCTTGGCAATCCCATCAGTCACTTCACTTTATCTTGGATATTAAAGATTAAAGTAGCACTGTGTAACTTCACTTTAAGGGGTGCACAACTTGTGTAGTTGAGTGCCTTTGCTGACCACTGTTGACCCTACACTGTTGCAAAATAAAAGTCTTCCTCTGAGATTTGTACCAGCAGATAAAGAAGTTATCGAGTTCCTGGTAAAAACAAGGCCATATCAACCCCTTTAGATTAAATCCAACATTAGAAACCCCAAAATATGTGTTACCAGGTCGCTGTCCAATCTGTAGCAACTTCTAAAATTCATAGTGTTGCAGTTATTTTTTTTTTATATTCTGTTTGAGGTTTTCACTGAATTTTTCTGTGGCGATGTCCGTAGTCTACAGAAAAATACAGACTTTGACTGTTCTGTTTACGAAAGGCCAAATTCGAACTAATCAGTCTGATAGTAACAATATGTCTTGTAGACCGAATGCCCTTTCATCATTTGTAGAGCCAGAACATTTCTATGGGTTATTGAACAATAAATCTACACTAATCACATGGTACCCATGGGCAAATGACCAGTGAGACATCTTTAATTTCCAAATATATTATTTAAGAAAAAACTAATTTTGACGCTGCCCTTGCTTATAAATCTAAACTCCAATGTATACATCTAAGCCCACTAAATTAAAATTGTATGGTTCTGCATAATATTTACATTAAGTGTGATGAGTAGTTGTCATTTATATCTAAATATTTAGAGGACTCCATGATGACTGCAGAGACAACCTACTTGTAATTCATCGCAGCAAAACACGAAAACTAGTTCAATCTGAAAAACTCACACGAAGAGAAAAGAGAATTAGGAGAAATGTATTGATACAATTACTTTGTCTTTGGCGCTCAGACCTCAGCAGGAAACATAGAACTTAATTTTGATAGATATGCATGAACAGGAGCAAAGTAGGGTTGTTTCCCAGGGCTGTTGTGGAGATAGACGAAGTTAGTCAGTCTGTAGACTGCTGGTTAGCGAGACGGTATGCTAAACTTTATGGGGAGATCCAGTGGATTGCATGAGCTGAAACTAGAGCTTCACTCAGGGACCTTAAGATGGAAGTCCAGTTTGGATAACACAGGTTGAGAGAACATGTCCATGATGAGCAAGCATGAAGCGACAGTGGAGAGGAAAAACTCCCAGTTGGTAAGAAACCTCTGGCAGAACCAGGCTCAACATGGCCATCTTCTGTCGGACCAGTTGAGACGAGATAGGAAATGCAGTAAGAGTCCGGGAGGAATGACACTCTGATGAAGCTTTATCTACGATGGTGGAGGAGTGCGTGAAGGTGGGTTGAAACATTGTCATCTGAATGAAGTCACACAGCGCAACCACCGCCTCTGCACAGACAAGTTGCAGATCAGAGGCTTTTTAAGATGAACTTTGGATGTTGATTGGCTTTCGTGGAGGTGTGGATCAAAGCTGATTGACTGTGTTGCAGATGGATATAGGAGAGCAATCAGTTTCTTCAGTTGAAATTCCACCTAGGCTCCATTTCTGAGCCTGAATTCTGTATTTATCATCTTTAACATTACTATAACTGTTTGGTAGTCACCTACAATTTTGGAGAGGTGCAGCAGAGTGTCTGCTGGGGCAAGGGCACATTTGCTTTCACTGTGACACGCATGCAGACAACCTGGTTTCTGAGTATAAATTAGTGGGTAGAGTCTTCTCTGACCCTTCCTCTAAATGCCATCAACGTTCTTACATCCAGTTTTTTTAAGGTAATAGCCAGAAACTTAAAAAGTCCATTCTCTTTACATCCAACTCCAAGATGTTCTCTCAAGTGTCAGTGAATTAGGTCTGCACCTTCAAAACTCTACTACCAGCTCCTTTGTTTTTCCTGCATCTACCATGAGAAGGTTGGACCGACACCAATCATAAAGGAAACCTCTGATGCTGACAGCCTGGGGAGTTGAATTGCGAGTTTCCATAGAAATATTTGGTCATAAAACTTCAAACACTGGAGACAAATATCTCTAAAGTTTTGTTCATTATGTTTGGTTCAAAGGAACATTCTTACTGATAAGATTAACCAAACAATCCCCTTTTCATTCTCTTTTTGAAAGGATTTATTGCTCTATTATGCTTCCATTAACCAAGTTTGAATAAGGTCTGTCTTACAGTCGTCTGGAAGGGAAGACATTTTCTATAGCTGATATTTCAGATGGAGATTGAATGTTTTTCAAGAAAGCAGGGCTGAGATTGCACCAACATGTTTTGGACAATGAAAGTGAAAAGTCGTGGCCATAAAATAATAACAGGCTTTGGATATGTGGTAAAGACAATGCAATTCATATAGTGCCAGTGCACAATACGTCTTCTCAAGTAACTTTAAAATAAAAGATCAGTTCAAATCAAATCATAAAGTCAGATTCCAAGTTAACGATGTTCCAAATGACAATAGCTGACAAATGGACTCTTAATCAAGAAAAGAAAGAAAATGAGGTCACGTGACTGATACACATCTTCTATTAATAGAAAGGTGCTTAGGCTATTTAATATAGGGTCATAATCTCTCATATTCAAATCATTTTGTCTGTTTAGTGATCAGAACCACAGTCCAACAAAATGGTAATAGATTAAATATCATTCATCTTCTCCCACTTAGTTCTATGTATCACTAAATATATCACTCTAATCACTCACAGATAAAGCCTCAAATAACCAAGCTCCATTTTATATCAAATATATGATTGTTCCTTGTGTTCCTTACAGAGCACTTTGCCTTAATCTGCAAGTTTACTTGTGGTTCCTAGAATTTCTAAAAGTAGAATGGGAAGCAGATTTAGTTTAGTTATCAGGCTCCTCTCCTATGGAACCAACTACCAGTTTTAGCCCGTGAGACAGACACTGTGTCTACTTTTAAGACTAGGTTTAAAACTTTCCTTTTTGATAAAGCTTACAGTTGGAGTGGCTCAGATTATTCTGAACTATCACTACAGTTATGCTGCTATAGGCTGAGATTGCTTAACGAAATAGGGACCCCTTTTCACAATTCTGCTTCATTCTAACTCTATTCTCCCATTATATGTTAGTTCAAGCTCTAACTTTATGCTCTTTCTGCATTTTCTTATCATAGAAGCTTCATCTAGCCTTTTCCTGTATCTGTATCTGCTCTCTTTCATCCTCTGACATGGGAGCTTGCTCGGAGCTTGTCTGCCTGGCTGGGTGTTTCCTGAATGGGGCCACCTGTGGAACTGGTTGACAGTTACCTTTTGTATCTTTGCTTCTTTCTCTATGTCTGCTTCTGTCTTGTTGAACCCCTGTCGGACTGGGCAGATTCCCGCTCACATTAAGCCTGGTTCTGCAGGATGTTTATTCCTGTTAAAAATGAGTTTCCTCTCCACTGTCGCTAAAAGCATGTTTTGTGTGAGGGATTGCTATCAAGTCAAAGAGTCGATGCAAACAACTGGTTTTTCCTAGATAGAGAACTTTGAACCAATCTGACTGTATGATCTGGCTAAATTGTTTCTGTAAAATGCCTTGAAATGATGTGTGTTGTAAATTGATGCTATATACAGTAAATATACTGGATTGATTTGAAATATTCTCATGTCTATCTTTTCATTTATCTGCTGCTGATAATAATAAACCAATAAGGACATTAGTATGAAATGGTTTGTATTTTGGTAGGAAATAAAAGTAAGAGGTGAAATTATTTTTTCTCCCAGCTACTTTATAAAAGGGTGTATTGAATAGAATAGTGTAGAATTAGAAAATCACTTTATTGTCCCACAATCGGTAAATTGTGAATCCTAAAAACAGTTAGGAGTCATGAATGTACTCCCACCCCACATAGTTTTTCAGTAATTTGTTTTGGGTTTTTTTATTGTTTAGAAGTCTAGAAGTTGTGACTTCTAAACTGGTGGTCTTTGGAATAGAACATCTGATGTCACATGCATGTATGAGTTGACAAGGACCAAATACAAATCTTAAATTTATACATCTTTAGTATTATGATATATACACCTGATGTATATATTCATATGTAGCAAAAAGAAATTCATGAAATTGCCCAAAGAGTCACAAATGTTACAAAATAAAACTCCAATTTGTGAATTTATATCTATTTATTTTTCATTTGTTAGAATATTGAGCAAAAAATAAAATAAAAATAAAATAAATCAACCATTATAGAGTAAAAAACAAACACCTGTCTCCTGATTACCTTTAAACTATGACATTCACAGATTGTCCAGAATCATTCAGGTTAATCGTCCCTTCAGGCTAACCCACCAGCCAGCCTGCACTTTGCATCTCATTTGTTGATGCAGCATGTTTGACATCCTGCTTGTTGTTGCACAGCACACAAACTCATACCACTGTCTTTGTTTAGACACCGGGGCATGGAAATGTCAAAGAGAGACAAAGGAATAAAGTAGGCCATAGTGTAGAGCAACGCAGGGCAGAAACACAACATGGACAGCAGATGCTGAGCAGTTTGAGGCTATCAGAATGGCCAACAATACTGCACCACAATCCTCTGGGATATAAACACAGTGGGCGTTTAGGACAGACACGCTCTCACA